AGAACTCAGTGTGGTAAATGCTCTCAAACCACAAGTTATCATCAGTTTCCAATATGTAAAAAATGGCCACGTAACAATGTAATTCTTTAATTGCAGTTTACAACCCTTTCTTAAAGGGTCAGTATCACCGTGGATAAAGTAAAATTATGTTTTCTAAGATCTCCTTTGCAAGGCTTTGTTGTATAATGTCCTTCGGCCACCTATTCTGGTTTGCACACCTAACTACAAAGACAACAGAATTAGTCATAGCATTAGGAAAGCTTTTAAGTGGTGACACAAAGGAAGAAGCCTATAGTTAAATATTCCAGAAATTTATTTGACGTTTGCTGGAATACATTCTATATAGAAAGTTTGGGACTGCTGTTTTGGGTGCCCTGGTAAATCTCATGGAGGCACTGAAATACAAAGAGTGCCAATTTTGAGACATATAAAATTGATAGAAATCATAAGCCTAATTTTAGGACTGTTTTTAGCTTATTTGTCTCTAGTCAAATTAAGCCATGTGCTTAAAACATACTTAGTGTGACGGAACTACTGCATGAAAACAGCTGACAAAATAGGAGGGCATTTGATGTTCTGGTCTGTTGGAATATTTAAATACTTGGAAAAAAGAAATATTCAGCTTTGAAGTTTTCAATACTGGAAAACTTTCAAGTCTAGAGTTTGCAGCTAGGAGGGGCTGCTTCGTGTTCCTTAAATTGGACTTTGCTTCCCACAAAGTTAATCTTCAGCTTTGGCTTCCATTTCTTCTGCATCATCATCTCCATCCACTTCTGCATTTTCTCTCTCCAGTCGTTCCAGCTGCCTTGCAAGTTCAGTCTCATCTGTATCTGTGACCACTTTGGGCTGTGGAAACAGGTATAATTTCAGAATGAAGTTGTTAACCAGGTTAATATTTTAACTTAAATTCTTAAATACTCTGTCATTCCTAATTCAACTGCTGATTTACCACTAATAGACTCATCAGTTAAAAGTAGAATTTATGAGAACCACACAGTATATATTAAAATGGAACAATATTTTTGTCATCTTTAGAAGCTAAAAGTATTAGAAATAGTAGTTATAATTTTTAATACCACAAATGTCTGAAAAGTAAATGCATCTTTGGGCTCAAAATATTTTTCTTCAGGGAAGAACTTACTATATAAGTATTTATACATGTATTATTATTTTTTCTGGTGTGTTGGTTGTGGGGCTTGAACTTGGGGCCTGGGTACTGTCCCTGAACTCTTTTTGCTCCAGGCTAGCACTCTACTACTTTGAGTCACAGCACCACTTCCAATTTTCTGGTGGTTAAATGGAGATAAGAGTCTCACAGATCTTCCTGTCCCTGCTGGCTTCGAACCACAATCCTCAGATCTCAGCCTCCTGTGCAGCTATGATTACAGGTGTGAGCCACCAGTACCTGGCCCATATATTATTATTCTTGAGATGAGGGAACCATAACAACTTATGTTTTTTTCTTACTGGTGGGACTTGAACCCAGGGCCTCAACTCTTGGTTGGTTTTTCCTTTGTTTCTTAGATGTAGAGCAGGAGCTCTCTTAAAAGGCAAGAATTAACTAAAAGCATAAAATTCTGTTTTAAATGGAATATTAAAACTGAAACAAACAGGGGCTGGGAAGGTGGCTCAGTGGTAGAGCGCTTGCCTTGCATGCTCAAGACCCTGGGTTCGATTCCTCAGCACCACATAAGTAAACAGAAAAAAGCCGGAAGTGGCGCTGTGGCTCAAGTGGTAGAGCGCTAGCCTTGAGCTGAAGAGCTGAGGGACAGCGCCCAGGCCCAGAGTTCGGCCCCACGACCGGACCCAAAAAAAAAAAAAACTGAAACAAACAGGCACCAAAGAATTTCCTGGATTGGAAAATTAAGGAAAAGTCTATCATACAATATTTAAAAAAAACATTGTTATTGCATTCAAGTTTATACAATCATCTGGCATAAGCTATTGCCAGCATTCTTGCGTTTTATCACTTGAGCCATGCTGTCAGTCCAGCACTTTTGTTGGTTAACTGGAGGAAGGAGTCTCATGGAGTTAATTTTTATCTCAGCTGCCTTGAAGCAAGAGCCTCTAGGTCTCAGTCACCACAGTAGCTAAGATTACAGCTGGGGCTGGGAAGGTGGCTCAGTGGTAGTGCTTGCCTTGCACGCATGAGGCCCTGGGTTCAATTCCTCAGCACCACATAAGCACAAAAAGCCAGAGTGGCGCTGTGGCTTTAGTGATAGAGTGCTAGTCTTGAGTTGAAGAGCTGAGGGACAGTACCCAGGCCAAGAGTTCAGGTCCCACGATTGACCAAAACAAAACAAAACAAAAAACAGGTGCATGTCATTGGTGTCCAGCTAGTTCTTTCTTTCTTTCTTTTTTTGAGACAGGGCTCTCATTATATAGCCACAGCTGTTCTCAAGTCTGTAATAGTTGTACCTCAGTTTACCAAGTGCTGAGTCTACAGGTATGTACCAACATGTCTGACAAATTTATTTCTAATTTTCTTGGGTGTGTAAAGGACAGATGGATAGGACCTTAATGCTATCAAAGTCTGTATGCCTGAGTACCCATTCTGCAGTGGTATTCTAATGCTGCTAGATTTCTTCCTTTTAGTAGTCCTTGGAACCAATGATTATATTTAGTTGATTTCTAATATGATATGTAATGTGATCAAGTATTTTAAGCACAAAGGCACTGAAGAGCTTACCTCCATTTGAACATTGAACACTCCCCGCTTCTCCTCAATCTTTTCTTTGATAACAGCCATAGCTTGATTGAGGACAGAAAGGCCTTCTGTTCTCTCCAGAGTTGTTGTAGTCATTACATACCTTGGAGGAGCTATTAGATTAATCTAAAGGAGACAGACAAAAATTCAATTATAACTATACCTACAGAACTAGTAGGATGTTATTAATCTGTTGCATTAACAAATCACCCCCCAAAACTCATTTTCCAATTCTATAGGTCAGCAATTTGGAAGTTTGTAAATACAGTAAAATAAGAGTCTAACAATCCAATCCTATACAATACAGTCTACTGCTATACAGAATATGAAGAATTATAATATTTGGTGGCTAACCTAATCATCATGAGCATAAACTCATGGAAGAATTCCTACTAGGAGATTCTGTGTAATAGTCATTCAGTTTAATTTTTCTGCTAATGAAGGATGCAGATTTTTAACCTCATAAAGTTGTTTGTATTGGTGAGAATGTTACCCAGTTCAAGGCACTATAGCATTTTTGGGCACAACTGGCCCCACTCAGAAAAGGAATCCCCATCTACTGAAACCACAACAGGAGCAACAACAAAGCCACCATATAGTTGCAAATATGCTCCAGAAGAACCAAGAGGACATTCAATTGTAATAGCAAAAACTATTTTTGTTATGAAATAATCTTGTTTTTATAGTGTTGGGGATCCATCACTGGGCCATCAATATACCAGGTAAGCATTCTACCACTGAACCATACCTTCAACCCAACACAGTTAAAGAAAAAGGACAAGACAAGAAAGTAGCTCAGGATTCAATCCCTAGTACAAAAAGAAAAAAAAGAAAAAAAAAAAGAGGTTCTGATTTGTTATTTCAGTGGGGACAGACAAAACTGATGACTTACCTTAATGGGCATAGTTTCCGTAGAACAATTCAAGCCTGCTCTCAGGGCTTCTTTTACAGCATCGATACCTTCATAACCATAGCAAGCCACTTCAATATCTAAAAGTATAAACATTAAAAAGATGACACAAGGGGCTGGGAA